TACTCGTGGCAAGAACGTGGTTTCGGGTTGATTTTGAGCCGGTTCGAGGTAAGTGGCTTGTCTAACCTTGTGTGGGGGAAACTCCCCTTAGGATTTGATTTGTTGATAATTGAATGCCCTGTACGTGAGGTGACAAGTGCGTACTTGTGCATATTTTTGAAAAATCTATTTTCTTTAAGTAACTATAAATGTGATTTTTTCTGTTTCCTGTTCATATCGTGTGTAATTTAAGCATGCTATTAGCTTAGGGAAGCATGTTTTGTTGACTTAATTACCTTACTTGCTCAAATTGCCTTATTTGGATTATGTGCAGCATGCTAGGCTAGAAATACCTATTTTATTTTGGTATGAAAATTCGAACCGAATTGAGTAATCTTTTGTGCTGCTGCTGTGTGTTTACTTTGGGACTCCGGGACGGTAGCCCGGGAGATCCCCCCCCCCCCCCCCTTTATGTTTACTTTGGGACTACGGAATTGTATTCTGGGAGATCCCCCTGCACTTTTATATTGGAACTACGGGACTGCACCCGGTAGATTCCCCCAGTATTAAGTATTTATATTTGGGACTAAGGATGTGGTATTTGGTAGATCCTCGCGCATTATGAGTTGGACTACGGGACTACACCCGGGAGATCCACTGGATATTTATATTTGGGGACTACAGGACGGTATCCTAGGAGATCCCCCGGTTGTTATCTCTGCGTTGAGCTGTATTTATTTTCGTGATTACTTTGTTTCTGTTAAAGTTGTTATTGTTCTTCTATCCTATGTTACTTTTTTACTGTTGCACTTAAGTATACTGTCTTATTCTACACTGTTATATCTTGTATTTCCTTTAACCTCAGTAGGGCCCTAACCTTCCTTGTCACTACCCGACCGAGGTTAGGCTTGGCACTTACTGAGTACCGCTGTGGTGTACTCATGCCCTTCCTGCGCATGTTTTTCATGTGCAGATCCAGGTACTCCCACTCAGACTTATCACGCTTGAGGCGAGGCATTTTATAGAGACTCCGAGGTATATCTGCCGCGTCCGCAGACCGAAGAGTCCCTTTCTATTCTCAGTACTAGTATAGCCCTTTCTGTATTTTCCCTTGCTGCTAGACATTCTGGAGTTAGAGCTTATTATGTAATCTTTTAGCTTGTGATTCATGGGGTTCCGGATTTTGGGAGTGTTAGATTGAGATTCTTGTACTGTTATATGCCAGACGGCATCTTAAACACTGTTTAACCTTGTTATCTCGGTTTTTAATTACTTTCTTCTGTAGTTATTTCTTTTTCCGCATTTGTTAGGCATTCCTAGTCGTAGAGACTAGGTGCCGTCATGACAATTCACGGAGGACGAACTGGGGTTGTGATAGAAACTATGGCTGATGGTTGGGTTCCCCAGCTGTGTCATCAAGGACCTACATTCACAAACAATGTTGTCATAAGGCAGATGACCATGTTTTAACATTCTAATGATCTCATGTGAGTCAGAGTTAATCACTAGAGGGGTGAGGTTGTGCTCTGTTGCTAGTTTTAGGCCTTCAAGTAGTGCATGGAGCTCTCCTAGATTGTTTGTTATGGTTAGGAAGCCTTTCACGTAGCCCATAACCCAGCCACCCGAGTGATTCCTAAGAACCCCTTGTATGCCCCATGTTCCTAGGTTACCAAGGGAGGAGCCATCAATGTTTAGTTTGAAATGGCCTCTCTCAGGAGGTTCCCATTTAACACTGATAGTAGTCCATTATTTCTGAGGTGCTAGTAAGTAGATGGTATTCCATAGCCTGTGCAATGACAACGTTGTACCTGCTCCTTCTTTTGGTTAAACATGTTGTTGTTCTTTGTTAGCCAAAAGTTCCAGAAACATAAAGGTAAAAGGAAGTGCCATTGTATATTGTCATTAAATTGCTTATCCTTAATCTTGTTCCAAATTGTATTCTGAGAATGAGGTGTGAATCCTATGTGCATAGATTGGTTGATAGCACAAACCCAAAGATTGTTCCAAAAGGATTTGGCATTAACGTGGAGGAAGAAGATGTAGTTTATGGATTCCTCAGTGTAGTTGCACACCTGACAATTGGGGTTGACTTGGAAGCCAATGTAATGTAGATACTTATTGGTGGGTAGACTATTGTGTGCTAGAAGCCAAGATGAATCTTATCTTATTAGGGGCTTCAAGTTTCCAAATCCAGTTGAAATTGAGACCCTGCTCAGAGTATGTGTTCCACTGGGGGTTGAGGATGGAGTAGGCTGACTTGGAGGAGAATAGACCATTGCTGGTAGGTACCCAGATAAGTTGTCCTCTCTCCTTGAGTTCAGGTTTAGAGAGATGTTGATGGTGAATGACAGTGACTCGGGAATGGGGAAGGAGAGAGTGAGAGAGAGTGTGTAAGTTCCAGTTCTCATTGTTGTATTTGGAGAAAAATTTTATGTTCTCTTCCCCAATAGTCTTTGGGTCACTTATGATGGAGTCAATGGGTCCCATGTTAGGAATTGAGCAGTCAGGATGTTAACCATGTTTTCATTATTGATACCCACATAGAAGCTTTGTTGCAGACTTTTCAGCCCTCTAGGATGCATTGTCAAATTCTGGAGGAAGGTTTCCTCCAATTTATACTTTGGGTACAGTGTTTGGCAATAAGGGTTTTGGCCCATAAGGTATCAGGTTTTGGAAGAGACTTCAGGCTAGACCTGAGTGGCAGGCCTTGTTTTTTAGTTCAATTTTTTGGATACCCAATCCATCTTGGGGCTTGAGTTTAGTTATGACATCCCAGTTTAGGAGGTGCATTTTCTTCTTCTCAGTTGTAGTACCCCAGATGAAGTCCCTTTAGAGTTTATTGATCTTTTTGTAGGTAGAGATGGGATGCTTGATGAATTGCATGACATGGCTAGGGATGCTAGCAATTCTAAGTTTTGCTAGTAGTACGCCCTGCCATGTTCAGGAATCTTGTTTTGCAACCTGCTAGTTTGGAGTGCATGCTATCAACGATGAACTGGAAGCCACTATCGGTGGGTCTTTTGTGGAATATGAGAAAACTCGAGATGTTTGCAAAGTTGGTATATGACTTGATGCCAAGGATGCTTGCATATAGGTCCATGTCCTCTTTGGAGGTGTTCTTGGAATAGATCACTTTGGACTTGATCGTGTTGACTTTTTGGCCAGAGACAAAGTTGAAAGAATTTAAGTTTCTAATGATGAATTTACAGTTCTTTTTATTGTCTCTAGCAAACAATGTGAGATCATCAGCAAAGAAGAGGTGGAAAATTCTAGGCCCGTTTCTACTTGCGGATATTGGTATCCAATTTGTAAAGCCAACTTCATAATTAATCTGTCTAAAAAGCCTATCTATGCACATTATAAAGATGTAGGGTGATAGAGGCAGGGGCGGACCCACGTGTAAGGTTCTGGGTGCTGCAGCACCCACTGACTCCGATAGGGACTCGATATACTAATATAAAAAATTTATGAAAACTGATATAATATATTAACAAGCACCCATTAACCAAAAAGTCTAATGGGTGCTTTGGTTTGGAGGCTGAAGTTTGGGCGCTTGGATACCTAACGCTGCGAGATCGAATCTTGCTGACAACGTTTTTTGTTTTCCAAAAAATAACACTTTTCCTTATTTAATGAATCGTTGACTTCCTTGTTTGCTGATTTATTACTTACCTTCTTTTACTTTCTTTTATTCCATTTTTTTATTTCCTCTTGTTTACTAATTAGATGAGGAAAAGGAGAAAAAGAATCCTCCACTAGTTAAAATATTGGTAGGCTTTCAAAAGATACCAAACCAAAATATTAAAACAAAATCCCTCTCGGGCCTCGGCTTCTCCAATTCTTCTTGTAGGTTTCGCAATTCGCAGGTTACACAGTGAAAAACAAGTTTTCTTGACCTCCCCATCTCAAAATTAAAACACAAGGAACAAGGTAATAAGATTTGGTATTTTGGTTTAAGCTAGAGATCTTGGGTATAATTATAAATGTCAATATTCTATCGAAGATATTGGATTATTGAGTTTTACAAATTACAATTCTTATTATCTGTGCTTTGTAAAATAAATTCAGTAATTTTTATTTTATTTTATGAATACACCCACTGATTGTAATTATTTTGTGGAAAATAAACAATAGTTATATGTACTTGTCAAAAAGTGAAAAATAAATTTATCTCTATTGCTGAATTAATTTCGAAACTGATTTTTTGGGGGATAAATGTAGGTTATTAGCATCAGTTTGTGCGATTGATGAATATATCGTCATGGCTCATTGCTTCAAAAATTTGTAAGTTTTTATCTTATCTTCCGAAAGAATAAATATTTATGATATTTTTAGTGATAAAGAAGTGTGATCAATTTTCCGGTGCAATGTGGTTAAATATGTTGTTATTGCTTTATTATTTGTATTATTATAGAGGGGCATGAGTTCCCCAATAGGATTTAGTTGAATTATAATTGAATCTTATTATGTAGGAATATTTCATCAATCTTTGTGAATCGAGATGGATAGGTTTGTCACAAGAACGAATGTTGGGCAACCAAGTTCTAGTTTTACTAATCCATCTATTGCTTCATCCATAGCTCCGGAAATTCAGAGGGACGCATTTCTTTTTTATCTTGATTTAGAATCTCTCAACGTGATATGGGAGATAGAAAGCCTATTACATAATACAGCCCTAATATACGTGATGAAGTTAGAAGACATTATATTCAAAAAAAACCTTGCTAGCCTGCGAATCATGATTTTCCTAAAACTAAGTTTGGGAAGATAATGCGTCAGTTTCGTCCTGGTTGGTTTAAGGGTCAACATTCTAAGCGGTTGGAGTACAGTATATCAAAAGATGTTGCATATATTCATGTTGTTATTTGTTCAAAAATAAACATGAAAGTCATGGAAATACGAGAGATGCTTTTACAAAAAATGGCTTCAAAGCTTGGAACAAGGCTATTGAAAGATTTAAAGCTCATGTTGGAGAAGTAAATAGCATCCACAACAAGTGTTTCAATAGGATGCTTGATTTAATGAATCAATCACAATCAATTCGCACTTCTTTTGACAAACAATCCGAGAAAGAAAAAAGTGAGTCTCGACGTCGCTTAAGTGCTTCAATCGATGCGGCAAGATTTCTTTTGAGACTAGGTTTGCCATTTCGTGGGCATGATGAGAGTCAATCTTCTACAAATAGAGGTATTTTTCTTGAGCTTTTGCAATGGTATGGAGATATTGATCGGGATGTTGGAAGCATTATATTAGAAAATGCTCCAAGAAATGAAATTATGTGTTCTCCAAGTATTCAAAAAGATATTGTTGATGCTTGTGCTAAAGAAACAATCAAAGCTATCATTGAAGACCTGGATGGGGATTTTTTCGAGATACTAGTTGATGAATCAAAAGATATATCACACAAGCAGCAAATGGCACTTGTTTTGAGATATGTTAACAAAGAAAGCGAAGTCATAGAGAGATTTGTTGGTATTGTTCATGTTAGTAATACATCGGCTATGTCGTTGAAAAAGGCAATCTGCTCTTTTCTTTCTGATCACTCATTAAGTCCAACGCAAATACGTGGGCAAGGTTATGATGGGGCTAGTAACATGCAGGGAGAGCTAAATAGTGTTAAGACTTCGATTTTGAATGAGTCTCCATCAGAATATTGCATTCACTGTTTCGCTCGCCAATTGCAATTAACACTTGTGGCTCTTGCAAAGAAGCATTCAGATGTAGATGACTTTTTTTGTATAGTTACTAATGTCTTAAATATTGTTGGAGCATCTTTTAAGCATAGGGATTTGCTTCGAGAATATCAAGCTGAAAAGTTAGAAGAATAGCTCAAATCAGGTGAAATGTATACTGGACGAGGATTAAATCAAGAGCGTGGGCTTCAACCACCAGGTGATACTCGTTGGGGTTCTCATTATAATACGTTGGATAACCTTGCTGTCCTATTTCCATCGATTATTCATGTGCTTGAATTTACTGCACATGAATGTCCAAACTATGCTAACAGAATTGTTGCTGAAAGTCTTATGGGTAATTAAGGAATTTGATTTTGCTTTTATGTTGAACTTGATGTTAAAAGTTTTAACAATGACAAATGAGTTGAGTTATGCATTACAAAGGATGGATCAAGATATTGTCAATGCTTTGGGACTCCTTGCTCTTACAAAGCAACGATTAAAAATGATGAGGAAGAGTGAATTTGGATCTTTAATGGAAGATGTATCTTCTTTTTGTGATAAACATGATATAATGATTCCAAAGATGGATGCTCGCTACTTTCCTGGGAAGTTGAAGCATAGAGCTCTTGATGTTACATATTCTCATCATTTGCGTATCGACATTTTTTATGCTGTTATAGATTTGCATTTTCAAGAGCTTAATCATCGCTTTGATGTTGTGAGTACTGACTTACTCCTTGGTATGGCTAGCTTAAATCCAGTTAATTTATTTGGTAATTTTGATAAGAACAGAATAATGAGGTTGGCCGAATATTATCTGAATGAGTTTGATAGCAGCAAGCTTCGAGATCTTAGTTGTCAGCTTGATAGTTTTATAGTTTATGCCTGTGATGTTGACAAGAGGTTCTTTGGCTTGAAGGGAATTAGTGATCTTGCTAAAGTGTTGGTTAAGTCAGATCTGCAACAAACTTGGCCACTTGTTTATTTGCTTATCAAGTTGACTCTCATTCTTCCTGTTGCTATAGCTTCTGTGGAGCGAGCTTTCTCATCCATTAACTATATCAAAAGTGAACTTCGTAACAGCATCGGTGATGAATTTTTAAATAGTTGTTTAGTTTGCTATATAGAGCGTAAGATATTTGCAAGTGTCAATAATGACGCTATTACTCATCGTTTTCAACATATGAAAAGTCGTCGAGCACAGTTGTGAGTTTTGACTAGGGAAGTCTTTTTTCTGTAATGATAACATATTAACATTATTATCATGACTCGTGGCTAGAAGTCATTTTTGGTAATGACAATAGTAATCGTATTTTTCTCATTAATTTTTTTCATCGCCCCGTTCGAATAATTTGTGCTTATATTATGTGATTGATAGCACCATTATATTAAAAGAAAGTGAGCACCCACGACCTTAAAATCCTGGATCCGCCACTGGATAGAGGATCCCCATGCCTAAGCCCTAGATGGTAGTAAGGGCTCTGTCCTAGTTCCATTTAGGAGAATGGATATTGAGGCTGGAGTGATGCAGGACATGATGGGCTTGATAATGCAGTCAAGTAGATTGTAGAAAATGAGTGTGCTCTTAATGAAGGACCATTCTAGCCTGTCAATGGCCTTTTCAAGATCAATTTTGATGATCATATTTGAGCCTTTTACTTTCATATTATTAAAGTGGGAGATGTATTCTTATACAATGATGGAATTGTTAGAAGATCTTTAATCCACGTCCAATCCGCACTCAATGGTGAGTGGAAATGGTCTTTGGAAGAAAAGTACCCAATAAGAGTCAGGGTCGATTTCCGCAGGGAGTTACAATAGGTGTTAGGAGTATACACATGACGAAAGTGAATGGGATAACTAAATTTGCACTTCCACAAAAGGTTTTGATTTCTAGTTCTAATTTTACTCTAACAATTGTAAGCTAAGAAAAGAAACTATAAGTGAATGATTGTTTTTGGTGGTTTTTCAAATAGTTAAAAACCCTAGGGATGTGACCGTAACCTAGATGATCGCCTAATGGTTTAAATATTTTAATACTTATTTTGTTGATCGGGGTGTATTATAGCTCTCGACTCTAAGTTACCCACTCAATACCTCTCGGTCAAAGAGGGGTTTTGCCCAACTCGACTTTCTCAAGTCTAAATGGGTCTCAAACAAAATAGTTGATATGAGCTCAAGTCGGGTTCTCACTATCTCTAGTTTGAACCCTTTAATTAGGCTAATCAAACTCTCAATTAACCCAATTCCTTGTTAGCTAAGTTATCTTAGACTAGGTCCTTCTTTCTCAAGTAGAGACTAAGTCAAAAAGGCATGAATCAATGCTTGCAACCATTAATTCTAGAATTGAAGCATAAACTAGGCTAAATAATCAATACCCAATCATATACAAGCATTAAATTAAGTACCCATAAGGTTTACACACTAGGGTTTGGTCACAACTCTAGTAAAACTCTAGCTACTCATAGTGGAAATTGAAGAAAATAGAGAAGAAAATTAAACTCATAATCAAAGATTAAAATGGTAAAAGCTAATGTTTAAACACTAAAATAATCACAAACTTCCTAAAATGGCGAATTGTAACGGCTACAGCAGCTCAAACTCCGAAACTTGACCTAAAAATATGAAACTCGTCTATTTATAGTGGCCAAAAATTCGCTGACAAAAATGCCCTCAGGAGGTTTTGTGGCCGCACAATTCCATGTGCGGTCCGCAGACTTCTTCAGCTGGCAGGAGCTTAGATTCTGCAGTCGCACATTTCTGGGTTGCGGCTGCAAAACATCTTCTGCATCCGTACAATGCTTGTGTTGTCCGTACTTTAGCAACGCTTCAGGACTTGGTCTTTTACACACTCTCTGAACTTTGAATCATTTGTCAATGCAGACCCTATTCTGTGGCCGCACAATTCATGTGTGGTCCGCACATTTTCAAAAAGTCATGCTGGGTTCTTTCACTTGGTTTGCTGTTGCATATGGAATTCTGCAGACCGCACTTCTTTGATTTTGCGCCTTTTATTGCCTTGTGATTCAGTTCCTCCTTTTTTGTTTGGATTTTATCATGGGAGACCAAACTTCCAACATTCCTGTAATTTGCACACTTTTATTAGTTTCGGGAACATAAATCAATACTTTCGGACTAAAATAAAAGCAAAAAGGTACTAATAAGTAGTCAAAATTTCACTTATCAACTCCACCAAACTTAAGTCTTTGCTTGTCCTCAAGCAAATAAATTAGTTTCCACCTTCTAGAGTTAAGGGTCATTTCAGCGAGTCAAAGGTGAGCCATTCACACATCAGTTGGGACCAACAATTACCCACACTATCATGAATTATCAACAAGGTGAAAAGAAATTTTTTTATGCACATATAGTTCTAATATGACCATTGAGCTTCAAGAATTGACTTTACTTATCAAGGAATCTTGTTCTATCATGTAGGTCATGGTGGACTCCAAAATCTTCCTCCTCTACTTTCCATTTTCCAAGCTCGCTTAAGAAATTAGCACTCAATCTTAGGATTCATAAAAGGTTCACTCGTCTCTCACAAGAGACACAAGTACGGCTTCAAGTACCATAGGCTTGCCTCTCATGTAGATCGCCACTAATATAAGCTCACTCGGTTTGAAATCAAGTAGGACTTCTTTAGGGATGAAACGAAGGCTTTTGGATTAGGGTAGGATACTATATGGGTAAGTGGTTACATCTTTCCTTAAGCACTCCACACTTTCATTTCTCGGCTCACAATTGCCAATTCTTAGAGGCACTTCTTTTCATTGGGGACTAGAGAGACTTAACATCACTCTTTCTTGTTCATTTCATTCTTTTTCTCCCTTCATGATTTCTTAATGCTTGGGATCATTACCTCTTTTTGAATCCAACAACCCTTTCACTTATTCATGTTTTGCATTTTTTTTCTTTTTTTTGTTCTTTTTCTTTTTCTTGTCTGCTCTTTTCATAGAGATCTTTTCTCTTTTTTTGTTCCTTGATACCTTTTTCATATTCCTTATCTATCCCCTAAACTTATGTTTTAAGACACTTGTTTCACAAAGAGTGTTAAAGAAAGTTCGGGTGCCAAGAGAGGGTAACGACAAAACGGGTAAAGGCTTATAACATAGTTGTCAAATGAGAAAGTCTAGAGGCTCAAAGGGGTTGACTAGGGATACGACATTGGTTGGCTATAGAAAGCTCGAACGGGCCAAGGAAAGCCTACAATAACCTCTCAAACCAAGCAAAACTTAGAATTTCGCCTTGAAACACATTCGGGGCAAGCTCTAAACCATTCGCACGGACACTTGGACTAACAACAATTCATCTCATCCCTCACACAATTAGATTGTAAAAGAGGATAGAGTTGAGAGCCTACAGTGACCACATTCAAGTTTAAAGATCACTATGGTCCATTTAAACCACTCGATGATTACCAAAGTCAACTTAAGAGTTACAAAGTCACTAACTAGAGCTATTTTCTTCAAAAAAAACTTGTCTCTAACCATAAGCACGTAGTTAAATGTGTTGGTACCAAATGAAGCATGACTAACTCTTCGAGCATTACTTAATTAGGTCTTTTTATTCATTACTACTATTATTACCTAAACACAAAAACGGACTCATTCCCTTAAGAAGGTTGTCACGCCATCCATTGTTGGGACGAGTCGTCCGGTTCACACAACAACTACCTTTGGAAAGAACCTCGACGTTAAGAAAACCAAAGGCTTATTATCTACAAAAGCATAAAAAGAATCTACTTAAGAAAACAATAACTAATATGGAAAATATGAAGAAGCTAATAAGCAAAAACAAAGATAAAGAAGCCAATGAGCAAAAACTACTAAATATAGAATGAATATACATAATAAGAGAGAGAGAGAGAGAGAGAGAGAGAGAGAGAGAAGATAGATAAATACAAATAAGAAAAAGAAGAATATTATCAAATTATTACAAACCAAATGTATCAAAATGTACCAGTGTGTCAAATAAATTCCACCCCCCACCCCTCACCCCCAACCCCCCCCCCCCCGGAATAAAAGTAAGCATTGTCTCTAATGCTTAGCAAAATAAGTGTAAAAGAGGAGAGGGTGAAGAAAACTCCATATGGATCCTTGGACATCTCAGTGTCCCTAGCAATGTCAGCTCCCTCAGGATCGGCCAACTGAATCTCATCGCCATCAAATCTAGGTGTGGATATGTTGGCGAACATCTCACGCACTGTCTCAGCAGTTTCAGTAGCAAGGTATTGCTCGTCAGACTGGCCAGTCGGTGCTACCGGTGCAGATGGTGTTGAAAGATCTGGGGCGAACTGGTCCGGGTCAAGCAGCATATCAAAGGGAAGGTCTCCGGCTGTAGCCAATCTGGTCACTTACTTCCGGAGCTTGTCCACTGATTTCTTGCTGACCTGGGACTTCCTCATCTTCTTCACTTCCTTTCCTAGCTCTTCAATAACGGACCTGTGTTGTACCAAGGTAGCCATGATCGTCTTCTGGTTCTCCAAAATCTTCTTCAGTGTCTCATTAATGGTACAAGGAGCCTGAGGTGCCTGAGAAGTGGACTGCGCTGCAACAATACTAGACAAGTCAGACAGCTTTACAGTAGCTGTCTGCATCCAGTTGTTGAGACTTGCCAATGTCTGGCAGACTCGCAACGCAGATAGTGGGGTAGTGGGCCTGGGCACTGGACTCAGAGCAGTGGCAGGAGCTGTGGTAGGAGCTGCGAATGATGGAGGAGGAATAGCTGCGACACTGGAGGAAGGCTCAACCGAGGTGGATGGAACATCAACTGTCTTAGAAACTACCATTGCTGGCTCATCAGACTGGCTTGTGGTGGTAGGAGGCTGAACTTTCTTCTTTGGTTTGCTCGCATCCATCAGTGAGTACCAATCAAAAGGATTCTTTGGCTTCACCTTTGTGTCAAAATCTCTTGGCTCTACCTTTGCGTCAGTGGGGTACTCAGTAATAGTGTTGGGATAAGGGTAGGCCAAGCTATCCTGTTGTGCTATTAGTGAGATATTGGCCGACATCACGGCACCCATATTGATCGGGTACTCGACCGTGATGGAAGCCACAAGAACTACCCGAGGAATAAGAAGGTGAGTCTCATTCTAGCTCGGATCCAGTCTTCTGCAGACAAAGGTTTGCCATCCCTTCGCCTAAAAACTCAGAATGCTCCAGTGGATGGGAACCCGAGCAATGATCCATGGTGGTGGTGGCCCCGGTGGTG